CTGAGACCAGCTGAAAAAAGGCCTAATCTCGCTTCTTGGACATTGCTTCAAAGAATTGATTTAAGATTCAAAGATGCTATCACAAGCTATCACAGCAAGGAAAGAAAATGAGAAAAAAAAAATCTCTGACTCAGTGCTTTGAAAAAAAGAAAAAAACTTAACTTGTCATGGTCCTGGGTCTTTTGACCCAGCGTTTTAAGTTTGAGTTTATTTTGTTCATTAGGTTATCTAAGTTCATTTGGTTATTAGACTCCTTGTGTTTTCTTCCCCTGTATTTAAGCTTCCCCTCACCCTTCGTGTTTCATGCTGAGTGTCTTATGTTATCAAGTTTGTATTATTATGCCTAAGTGTTTCTAGTTATTATTTTCCCCTCGTGTTTCCAACCATGTTAAATCTCCCCTGCTCTTCATGCGTTTCATGTCTGTGTCTTACATTGTCAAGTTCTGGTTGTCGTGTCTAAGTCTGCATGTTTCCTGTTTTATTTTGAAAAGGGGTCTTTTGTTCTGTGCTCATGCGGTTAGTTTTACTCTTGCCTGTGCATCATTATGTTTATCCTAGTCAGCTGTTTCCTCATGTGTCTCCACTTCCCTTAATCACCTGCTGTGTATTTAAGTCCTCTATTTTCAGTGTGTGACTGTCAGGTTGTCTGTTGTCCATGCCATGCCTCCGATGCCATGCCATGCCTCCAAGTTTCTTGTCTAGGTTTTTCTTATTGTTTGTTTAGATTCCCCAGTTTAGGTTTGTGTTAATTTTGCTTCAGTTTGCCTTGCCCTTTGTTTGTACCTTTTCTACCAGCCATATTAAACGGCTCGCCTTTTGTTAACATTTCAAGTTCTGTTCCCTGTTCCTTGGAGTCTGCGTTTTGGGTCCTTTTCTCAATTCATACAGTCTGCCCTCGCCAGACTGTGACATAACTAAAAAGGTCTTTGAAGATAAAACCATCATTTCTAGAGACAAATTACATAATGTTGTTCAGTGTTTATTGAATGTTTTGATGTTTTGGGTGGGTATTCAGATTCATGTTTTGCATAAAACACTGTAAAAGGCAATAATTATTACAAATAATCAATAATAGAATAATGATTCTCTATAGAAAAAAAACCAAACATTCAGTATTATTCAAAAGTCTTGAACCACACATCAGTTTAATTGAAGTGGTCTTTGTCAATAGTCCTTCATCCTTTTTGAAGGTCTTTCAAAGTTCTTCTTTGGACAAGTCCTTGTAGCTGACCATTTTTTGAAGAATGTATCTGTTGTTTGTTAAGCCACTTAACACTGACCTACGAACCCATGAACCCATTCAAGCAAAAAAGACACTTCAAGCTTTAGACACTTTGTTACTAGCAGCCTAGTAAGAAAGTCACATTAAGACCAAAGACAACATAGTATTGAATACATGAATCAGTACTTTTACACTAACAAGGTAAATTCCTAGAGCTATCAGCTGAAAACTTGGTAAACGTATCTTTGCATGATATGCACTGAACCTTCAAAAAAATCTGAGGAAACTGGTCAAAGGAAGATGCGGGAAGCTTAAAAACTGATCTACGGCAGACGTTCAGTATCTAAAAGTCATGTGCTTAAGAAATACAGAAAAATGCTTCAAAGACTTGACACAGGACATGAGAGATGTATCTGGCCCTTCAGTTGGTCCATGTACTGTTCATTGAAGCCTAATCAGACGTTGCCTCAGTGAAAGAGTGGCTGACAAGAAGCCATTCATAAGGAAGAAAAACAGGGAGGAAAGGCTGAGATTTGCCAGATCACATAAGAACTGGACAGAAAATCAATGGCAACTAATCTTATAGAGTGATGAATCATTGTCAATATGCATAAAGGAGGATAAATGAGAAGCATAGCAGTGAGTGTCTAAAGCCATTTATGAAACAGGATGAAGACTCTCTCAAGATTTGGGACTGTGTTTTGGTTAGTGGTGTTGGGGACCTTGTCAAATATAAATTATGACCCCAAAAACCATTGGGTTTTGATCCAGCATGCAGTACCATCTATTGGGAGCAGCTTAATTTTTCAGCGTGACAATGATCCCAAGAAAGCCACCAATGCAATAAAGGCATACTTGGATAGAAAAACACACAATTAACCACTATCAGTCATGGATTGGCCTCCCGCAGAGCCTGGCCCTCAACATAACTAAAGCAGCGTAGGGCCATTTTGACAGAGAACAGAACAAAAGGCAGACAACATCCAAAGAAGGGATTTAAATGTCCTTCAAGAAATCTGGAGAACTCTTTCTGAAGACTACATAAAGTCAGACTGTTGAGGGATAAAGGTGATTACATCAAATATTGTCTTTGACAGTAGAATCTTCAAAACTCAGTTTTTGTCAAATGTACTGTATTACCATGTATCCCTGCTCACGCATCTTAATCAACTGATGTTCCTATTTCCCATTTTTCTAGGAAAATATGGTCATAAGAGCCTTAAGTAATGGCTCAAGAATATTGCCCTGCACTGTATATCAGAATCTAAACTCTCTAAAGATACATTATGTTTGAGGAGGCGTAACTTTCTTGCCGCTAGAAAAAAAAACTTTTAATGATGTTGTTCGCAATTACCTGTGGCAATTTGTTTTGTAGCTTTAGAGTCTATCACTTTCTTTCACTTCACAATCATTACAGTGTGATTGCAGGCTCACTCTATAACCCTTTAAACATAAATAACTTTCTGGAAGAAGGCACATGGAACAATGTTCTTCTCTCTGATTTACTCCTCCATTTAAAGTCTCCCAAAGGAATTGAAGACAATGACCTCCATCTACCTGTGGTCAAGAAAAGTCTAGTAGCGATTTGTTCCCTAAAGATCTCAAAGCCTCCCAGCCTTGATAACAGATCTTCAGAAAAAAAATCCAGCTGGCAGAGACTGGAACTTGGAATTAAAAAGGATTGAGGATGGGATATTATGGTATATTAACTACAAGCACATAATTTATCACCATTTTGATGACTGCCTTTGGTGTTGCATGAAAATTCTGGCTCAGTATAGCGAGTGACCCACAACTTCAATCAGTATCTCTTCATTGCATTTGTACTCTGTCCAACACTTCCCTGAAGTGTTATAATCAGACAGGCTGCATAGTCAAATGTGCCATCAAACAACTCAGAGTTTGAATATGTGATGATGGCTTGGATCAGCTTAAATGGTGAAATGTCAGGGATCTTTAGCTGGAAGATTTGTAGAAGGAAAAGCGCCTGTAATGTTAAACATCAATTTTCTACATCTCACTAGGGACTTGAGAATAACCTTAGTTTTGGGGCTGACTTCGAGGTCAATGAAAAGCTCTTCAGCACGTAACATTGTGCAGTATGATCTTTTAGTCGGTTACGGCTGATGGTGTTCAAGACATATGTGTTCTGTCCCCCCAAACAACTCTGTTAAGCTGTGTCGGCTTATTCTGTGTTAACCACATTGCAGGATCAGAATTTAATAATTCACACTCTCAAGTGACTTCATTCAGTCGGTCAAAAAATAATAACACAGTTGTGGTGACAGAACTGAGGCATGGGAAAGGCAAGTGCTTCCTGCTAAGCTATACTGTTCTAACATTTGTTTGACTAAATCCACTCTGTTATCAAGTATACTCACTATTCAATCTGACAGCCTTGCAAATAAAACACAATTTTCAAGAAGGTGTTAATGTTCAGTGTTTGCTGAATTTAAGCAATGTTGGACAGATTGATACAAGTTTGGAGGAAGCATATTGCAGTGCTATGGAGCTTTGACCTATTATACAGACAGCTGCTTCCCTTGTGAAATAGAAACATTAAGATTAGAAACATTTATGTAGAAAAAGTAATTACGTTTTTTAAGGGTAGAGATTCTAAATTTGGTAGACTAATTCTTCTCAGTTTCCATACTCATACCTTCCAGGGTGGATAGCTGCCCTGCCATTTTTACCTGAAATTGCTCTGTCACTCAAAAAGCTTCATAAAATCATCTACAGCACTGATCAAACAAGTCTCATGCTGCTTTTAGGGAGGTTTAGCCTAGGGTCTCTTTCTCAAGAAAGCCTCCATCCCCACACAGAGTCAAGCTGTCATGTCAGTGCACTAAGGTAGTAAAAATCTTAAGTCATCCTACATACTGTAGCCTGACTATAGGAAAAGCATGGAATCACCAGCTCTACAACTGCATAACTATGAACCCCATAATTACACAATACCAGCTGCACTGACTCGAGCATGTCAACAGGATGCCTGTAGGATTCGCTGCCTTGTAAGATCCTGCATGGCTAGATTACAGCGTGTGTACTGGCCATCAGGAAGGCAAAAGTGACAGTTCAAAGCTCAGCTCAAGGGCTCACTATGGATGTGGACCTGATGGACACTGCTGACTGTAAAAAAAAAAACTGAAAGCAGAGCTGAAGAAGAGGAAAAGTGACAGCAAAAATGACACAGACCAAATGCACTCAAAGCTACTCTCACCACAACCTGAGTTTCTCAGATTGCACTGCACAGCCATCAAAAAGCTTGCACTTAGAGACAAGTTGTTCTGAGATTCACTGGACTGCCAAAACAAAGATTTTGTGCTTGCACGCGCTTGCGTGTGTGTCTGGGTATGTTTATGTGAGGGAGTGGGAGAGACAGCGAGAGGGAGACAAAAATGGATCATTTCTAACCTTTAACTGGACCTTTATAAATCTTTCACCACACACAGGTCGCATCAAGAGTTTTCTTATTACAGCAGCAACTAATGAACTAAATGATAAGCTAAGCCATAGATAAAACACAAACAAACAAACAAACATGTATTTTTTTCTAATATATATTAATATCTTAATACTTTGCATTGAATTAAAAGCAATCACATTGCATTTCTCAGTTATAGCACTGTTTATGCTTTGTTAAGACTACTTGCTCGCACTATGTCTGCATTATGTTACAAACTGCACTCTTTTCATGAACAATAGACAATTAAATAGCTGGACCTGAATATTAACTATGCACGAGGTGAAACAGAATGCACTAATTGAAAATTCTTACCTCCTCAGCATAGGCATCACAAAGTTTGTTCCCCGAGAGCAGCTTGTTTTTCAAGCTCTTGTTCTGAAAAAAAGAAAACACAAAAGAGGTAATGACATTTGCATCTGCCCTGTAGCCTGCACTGCATGTTGCTTTAGCATTTTTGGTGCTGTATAAAAAGCACTATTGACTCAGTGGGCATCAGTTTCTCCAGCTGGGCAATTGACTATATAGGAGCCCTTGCAGCAAGTGCTTGGTTGCCTCTTGATTTCAGACTTAAAAGCAGTCAGGAGTGGCCTGTCTGACGATCTGAGAGCGCACTCTGGCTCGCAGGCCTCTTAAAGGTCAAAAACGTAGCTCAGGGCAAGACCCCCACTGAACTTTAAGCATGATCAGTAAAGTCTTAAAATCATTTGAATGGTAGTGGGTGGAGAGATGCTAAAGTTTGGGTCATGAGCTGTTGGCGCCAGTTAACATCTAAATCTGGAGACAAGTGAATGATTCTGTCCAAACACACAACACCTGTAACATCAACTTAGGTTTGATATATTAAAACCAAATCTATAGATTATTAACAAACGTACATTCAATTAAATGTAAATTTAAAGAAAAGAAAGGAAAAAAACATAACGCTTAATTGGACAACTTCTGCAAAGTGCAAGGGCAGCAGAAATTATGCAATGTGCTTTGTCTTGTCTTGCAAATTCAATTTCTTCATTTACAAAACATGGTTGAATCCAAATAGCAATTAAAAAACATTTATAGTAAAACCCATAAGGTTTGTGGTTTGCTGTACCCAAGAGCTTTTTCTGTAAACTGAATCTGAATAAAACTATAGATGTATTTATGTATACACTATACTTCTATAGGTGTTCTGGGAATTTTTTTACAACATACTTGAGCAAGGAGATTTCAAGAGAATCAGATTCTTTATACAGAAACATTTATTGCAGCCAGCTTTGAAATAAGGAGAACAAAACTATGACTTTTGTTGAGAGTGTTGTCATCCAGTGCCGATGCCGGCTTTTTTTTCTCTCAGAGGGCGTATTCATACTGATCATACACATTTATAAAGTCTTCATGCCTGATCATATATTCAAACAAGGTTAACACAGCTCCTTTGCCGTAAGTATTGAGGAGGAGTAGGAATGCTATGTATGCAGAGCCTGTCTATTCTCGCAAAATTATAAAATTAGAGGAGAGAGTCTCCACTCAAGCCTTAGGGCCTTAATCATTATATTCTTTCGAGAAATTCCACTCTCAATGACCTTTGAGACCTTTCCGAATGGAGAGTTTCACTTTAGTCAGAAAAATCCTTACAATATGTTTAAAAGGAAGTCTGCACTGACACAGTCAGGGGAGATGTAAAGACAGACAGGAATATGGCTGGAAAGTAATAACAGCATTTGATAAGAAGGGAATTTCTCTTTTTTAATTGGCACTGATCTGGTAATAAGATCGGTCCTAAACCAGCTTAATGCTTAACCCAAAGTAACCATCAAGTTTTCCAGATGACCCAGTCGTCCAGCATCTGCAGATAGGAGAAAGTTTAGACTGTCTCTAATGTGATTAAAAACCAGACTGTCTGCAAAATGTACTGCGAAAAGCTACTTGGTAAACCCAGTATATTTATAAGAGTTATATTTATAAGTGTATACAAGCAATTGGTTTGTAGAAAGGGAAGACTCCAGCTTCAGCTTGTTTTGGGGATTTATTTTCCAGTGGTTACATTTTTACCATTAACTTCTGTGCAATAATGCAGCATTTAAATAACTAGCTAAAAGAGAGAATAGTTAAGATGGCGCCGGTGAGGTCGGCTGCCGTCACGACTGCTCCGACCACTTTTTCTTTGTCTTTGTTTTTTAAGTTAGTTTTCAGCGTTTCTAAATCGGCAAAATCATCACCATTGGGTACATTAGGTATGACAGTGACACTCTTGTTTCTATTGGTATACAATGTACTCACAATTCGAAGTTTTTAACTCCGGATCCGAGCTGGCCGAGTGAGATCTCGAGGGAGAACAAAGGGAAGCGGCGGCGGCCTAGAGGGAAGCGAGCCGGCGTCAGGAACAGGCTGAGAGCTCGTGCACACCGCACACCTCTGCCTAGCATCCTGCTCGCCAACGTCCAGTCACTGGAGAACAAGCTTGACGACCTCAGGGCCAGGATAAAGTTCCAGAGAGACATTCGGGACTGCAATCTCCTCTGCTTCACCGAGACATGGCTGAACCCAGCGGTGCCGGACCACGCCATCCAGCCGGCCGAGTTCTTCTCGGTTCACCGCATGGACAGGACACGGGACTCGGGGAAGTCAAGGGGAGGCGGCGTGTGTTTAATGGTGAACAACAACTGGTGCAACAGTGCGAACGTTGTTCCTCTCACACGCTCCTGCACACCAAATCTGGAACTACTGTCCATCATGTGTCGTCCTTTTTATCTACCTCGGGAATTTACATCGGTCATTGTAAGTGCCGTTTATATTCCACCACAAGCGGACACGGTCACCGCCTTATGCGAGCTGCATGAGGCACTCACACAGCACCAGACACAACACCGGGACGCTGCGCTTATTGTGACGGGGGACTTTAATAGCGCCAACCTCAAACGCGCAGCGCCGAACTTTTATCAACACATCACCTGCCCCACCAGGGGTGAAAGGACACTGGACCACTGCTACACTACGGTCAAGGATGGCTACAAGGCACAATCCCGCCCCCCGTTTGGCAAATCTGATCACGCCGCCATCTTCCTCATGCTAAAATACAAACAAAGGCTGAAACAGGAAGTTCCGGTTCAGAGGAAGGTCGCGCGCTGGACGGATCAATCGGTGGCCGCGTTACAGGACGCACTCGATGACGCAGACTGGGGCATGTTCAGAAACAGCTCCGACGATGACGTCAACGTGTTTATGGAAGCGGTTGTGGGATTCATCGGGAAACTAGCGGATGATACCGTGGAGACAAAGACTATCACAACGTTTCCCAACCAGAAGCCGTGGGTGGATAAAACCATCCGCGACGCTCTGAGATCCCGCACCGCTGCCTACAACACGGGACTCATGACGGGGGACATGGACCCGTACAAAGCCGCGTCATATAACGTGCGGAGGGCGGTGAAAGAGGCGAAGCAGCGCTACGGGAGGAAACTAGAGTCACAACTCCAACAGAGTGACTCTAGGAGCCTGTGGCGGGGACTAAGGACAATAACGGACTATAAAGCACCAACAACCGGTATGACGAACGCGGCCGTGACTCTGGCAGACGAGCTGAACACTTTCTATGCTCGCTTCGAGGCTGCAGCTAAGGTCTCCAACAATGCTAGTGTTAGCGGCGCTAACGGCTGCAGACAGGAAGATACTGCCAGCACCGGAAACGTGCTCGTCATCTCCGAGCATGAAGTAAGGAGAGCCTTCAAGAGAGTGAACACCAGGAAAGCAGCAGGACCAGACGGCATCCCAGGTCGTATCCTCAGAGACTGCGCATACCAGCTAGCTCCTGTGTTCACTGAGATATTCAACATCTCTTTATCTCAGTCGGTGATCCCCACATGCTTCAAAGAGTCCATCATTGTTCCTGTCCCGAAGAAACCCCACCCTGCTTCTCTCAATGACTATCGCCCTGTAGCCCTCACCTCAGTAGTGATGAAGTGCTTTGAACGCCTGGTCAGAGACTTCATCATTTCTTCACTACCAGACACACTGGACCCACTACAGTTCGCTTGCCGTCCAAATCGTTCCACAGACGATGCCATGTCTCATCTCCTCCACACATCACTCACTCACTTGGACACTAGAAGGGGGAATTATGTTAAAATGCTCTTCATAGACTACAGCTCTGCATTTAACACCATAATTCCCTCCACACTCACCACCAAGCTGGAGCATCTGGGACTCAGCTCATCTATGTGTCAGTGGATCTCCAACTTCCTAACTGGCAGACCACAGGCAGTAAGGATGGGCGGACATGTCTCAGCTTCCACCACTCTCAGCACTGGAGCCCCCCAGGGGTGTGTTCTGAGCCCCCTGCTGTACTCTTTGTACACATATGACTGTGTGGCCACTACCAGCTCCACCACCATCATCAAGTTTGCTGACGACACCGTCGTGGTGGGCCTGATCTCTGATAACAACGAGACGGCCTACATGAAGGAGATTAGGAATCTGGAGAACTGGTGCCAGAGGAACAACCTCCTTCTAAACGTCAGTAAGACAAAGGAGCTGATAGTGGACTTCAGCACTAAGCAGGAGAGGAACTACCAGACCCCCGTCATCAACGAGTGCCCAGTGGAGAGAGTGGACAGCTTCAAATACCTCGGAGTTCACATCATGCAGGACCTGTCATGGTCCTGTCACATCAACACCGTGGTGAAAAAGGCCCGACAGCGTCTCTACCACCTCAGACGCTTGAGAGACTTCCAACTGCCCTCCAAGGTGCTCAGGAACTTTTACTCGTGCACCATAGAGAGCATCCTGGCGGGAAACATCTTAACCTGGTTCGGGAACAGCACCATGCAGGACAGACGAGCTCTACAGAGGGTTGTGCGGTCAGCTGAGCGCACCATCCGCTCTGAGCTCCCTGACCTGCACTCAATCTACAGCAGGCGGTGCTGGACCAAGGCCAGGAAGATCGTGAAGGACCTCAGCCATCCCAACAACAGACTGTTCTCTCTGTTGAGGTCAGGAAAGCGATTCCGCTCCCTGAAGACCAACACAGAGAGACTGAGGAGGAGCTTCTTCCCGCAGGCGATACGGTCTCTCAATCACACCACCACACAGTACTGACCCACACATATGGTTCTTACACACACACTGGACTTTCTGGACTTTGTTTTTGCACAACACTGGTCACTATATTCTTCATTTCCGGTTAATACTTGTACAGCTGCTGTTATTGTGTATATATTTATTTATATTTAGATTTCTTCATACATTCTTATATAGTTCTATATTGTGTATTGTGTATTTTGTTGTACAGTTATTTTATTTTCAACTTTAATTTATATATTTTATCTTATTCTTCCCAGTTAAATTTACCCTTCATTCTAATTTGTGTTGTACAGTTATTTCATTTTTAACCTTAATTTATA